TTTTTTGCCAATTTCCCCGTTTTAAGATTTAAAGGCACCAGATTTAGTCTTTTTAGTCGTCATACTATTGAAGCTGGGGTTTTGATTCTGGACTGGAACAATAGTAGAAAACCTGCTGATGCTATGGGCTGTTCCCAGTACCAGTGGTGGAGAAAGTACTCATACTATGTACTTAAGTAAAAGTACAAATACACAGACAAAAAGTACCACATTATTATTTTACTTAAGTAAAAGTAAGAAAGTACAAGCTTTTAAAACTACTTAAGTATTAAAAGTAAAAGTACTTGCCAACCATAATACCTAACGGCTTATATAATGTCATTAAGTGTACCTATCGTATTTAGTTTTAATAAATCAGTAATGTACCATTTTAATGAGCAATGCTGCAGAACGAACAAATAAAAAAACCGAAATGCGTCTTGGATGTAACGAGTAACGAAACGCTGTATAGAAATGTAGTGAAGTAGAAAGTACAGATACTTTCTGTTAAATGTAGTGGAGTAAAAGTAGAAAGTATCCATTATTAAATCTACTTAAGTAAAGTACAGATACACGGAAATTGTACTTAAGTACAGTAGCGAAGTACTTGTACTTCGTTACTTCCCACCACTGCCCAGTACACAAACCAAACCGGTCAAAAAGACTAAATACTATGGAGGAACATGTCCAGGAAAGCCTACAGCTCATGGAGACCTTTGGGGCGTGGAGGTATACCCGTGTGGAGCGTTAATACCTAACAAACCCTCCAGAGTCAGATTTAATGTTGGCTGTGATTTAAAGGGGCCAAACTAAGCCTGAGCCTCTCACAGTTAAGACCTAGACTTGACTTTATTTATCCCTTGGGATAACTTCTTCAGGGAAATTCAACAAGGAAGTTACAGAGCCTTCTTTGATAGGAAAAAGTCTACAAAAAGCTACATCTTTCTCACCTAGAATTTGCAAAAACAGACAAATCCTACAGACAAGAAATGTGTCATGCAATATCTCCTATTATATAACCTCTATTAAAACTGACCTGGCTGTTAAGTGGCTAACAGCAATTAACCATTTAGAGAAATAATCTATAGTCAAGATTACAAAGCAAACAAATGAATGGTTAAACGAGTGAAAATTAAAACAAACACAACATAGATCCATCTTGTGTCCACACTGTTTTCTACCTGAGCAAAGGAATAGATCTTTTAAGTTCACCAAACGAGTAGTTAATGATGGAATAGCTCTTTTTTAAATGGACCATGAGTGGTGGAGAAGCTTGTGTTCCCTTCATAAAACGGAATCAGTCACCATGGTATAAATCATGTTTGGGGTCTGCTTATAATTCTTTTAATTGCTAAATTTTTGCAGCCATTGTGGGTTTACCTAAAGCTTAAGAAAGAAGAAAAAAAGCAGTTTTTAAAGCGGCTTATTTTCCCGTCTCTGTCCAGATAAAGTCAGTCAGATAAGGGTCCGGAAAGTTTATTTTTCTCTCTTATAACACACAAATTCCTCTCTTACATCCTTACTTTTACTCTGTGAGCCAGCTCAATACGTATTGACGATGATTCCAGGGTCACTACTAGTCTGAAAAACACGGTTCTGGATATATTTCATTCCTTCTTTTCTCCTTCCTGCCCTTTTATAGATTTCTTCTTTGATGGCCGGTGTGATGAAACGGGGCCTTGGTCATTTTTCAGAGCCTGGAACATCAGCTCAGAACACTTTGATTGCTTGTTGGATGTGAAGAACTGAATCTTTGATGTGTCTTTTGAGTCCAGTCCACCCAGTATGTGTTGCACTGGGAACACCCAGAGCTGAACTTTAGGAGGAAAATGATGCTGGAATTTAGTAACCGACACAAACGACTCCATCCTGCTCACAGGTACTACCAGATTTATGTCTAACCGTACAGTTCCTCGCAGTATTTATGTTTCTGTTTCTGCATTTGGCAGACGCTTTTATCCAAAGCGACTTACAGAGTAGACACAATATTACATTTATCATCACTGTGACAATAAGCTATATAGAGGAGAAACCCTGATCAGAGTCAGTGGTGAGATAGAGATAGAGGTAGAGGGACTACAGAAGGAGTTTTTGGGGGGGTAGAGGTACGGGTTAGGGTTAGGATAGGAGCTGTGGGGGGTGATG